GCCAGGAGAGAGAAAAGTTGACTCTTGAGGGATTTGTTAAGATTATTTAATATATGTCCTAAATTTGACCCAAAAAAGTGATTTTTAATAGGTGCACAGTAAAACTTAATTAGTTGGAAATTCATGGGACTATAAGTATGGTTAGTTTTTTAAAAATCCTAGGCTGTTTTAAACAAAGAGATAGTTCTTAAAATATGGCATTTTCTGCCTGTTACAAATAGGTTATAATATTGTAAATGTAACAGTTTAAGTGGGAGGTGAATGAGAGGTAAAGTTGGATGAGATTTGAAAAGGTAGAAAAATATTCTGCAGCTGTCAATTAAGTTCTGTGTCTTCACTGTCTCTCCCTCTACATTTTAAGATTTTTTTTTTTTTTATGTGGTTGCTGGCAGAGTTGAGCTTGGGCCCTAGGAGGTAATTTTTAGGGCAGGAATAAAAAGATCCTTTGTAGGTTTTACTTGGGCCATGGTAACTGCCTCTAAGATCTGCTCAATGCTGCAGGATTAAATATGAGGTCATTTCTCCAAGTGATAGAGCCTCGATTGCATGTGGGAGTGGCAGGTGGAAAGGCCCAAGCCTGTGTTCGATGTCAGCATTGTTGTTTTGAAGCATTTCCTGAGGAACTTGGGACTCTAGCAGCAGAGTCGTGTGCATCCTCAAGTGATCTGACGAGCCAGAGCTTTGACAGTATGACCAGTCTAGAAACAGAAAGCAGGTCCCCAAAACATCCCCTAATATGTCCTGGGAATTCAGTGACCCTGTGGAGGTTAATGGTGGTTTTTTGTTCTTTTCTGCTGTGGTTTCTTTTAACTAGGGGTATTCCCCAGTACTGGAATAACCTTAGATTCATGTAGAGTATGTAATCGATCTCTAAGTGTAGATTGAAAGGGGAAGCCCAAGCAGTGTTGTAAGGGAAAGGACCACTTGCTTCAGAACTTCCTGTATTTAGAGATGACGACTTTTCTTTCTTTCTTTCTTTCTTTCTTTCTTTCTTTCTTTCTTTCTTTCTTTCTTTCTTTCCAGATTTTTTTTAGTTTGAATTAGAAACAAGATTGTTTTAAATGTCAATCCCAGTTCCCTCTCCCTCCCCTCCTCCCCTACAACCCCCACCCCCCAACTAAAACCCTACCTATCCCATATCCTTTCTGCTCACCAGGGAGGGTGAGTCCTTCCATATGGGGGGTCACCAGAGTCCATTGTATCCTTTGGAATGTTTCTTTAGTCAACTGTGTTGGTTGTGTGTCTCCTGTGTGTTGACTTTAGCCTGGGAATGCAGTAGCAAACTAAACAGGGCTCCTAAGTAAGTTGAGGACAGGATTCTACCACCTATTTGTTGTTGTTGTTTTGGTTTTTTTTTTTTTTTTTTTTTTTTTTTTTTTTTGCTTGTTTTGTTTTTTCGAGACAGTGTTTCTCTCTGGCTTTGGAGCCTGTCCTGGAACTAGCTCTTGTAGACCAGGCTTGTCTGGAACTCACAGAGATCCTCCTGCCTCTGCCCCCACCCCCCCTGCTGGGATTAAAGGCGTGCACCACCACTGCCAGGCTCTACCACCTACCTTGCACTGCACTGAAACCCCAGGGAAATTAATATAGAAGCCCTGTATGGATACTTATTTGCCATGTAGGAATAAAAGCTCTAGTTGTGGGTATCAGATGGGGAAGCTTAGAAACAAACCTTAAGATTTAGGACTGAGTGAAATCTTCCTGAGTTAGGAATAAAGAAGGGGTGTTTGAATTGAGGAAATGAAAGAGTAGCTAGTCTCTTTTATATCTTCAGTCATACATATAATACATATAAATTAAAATAAGCCTGGGAAATTAATTACTTTATTTCTTTATTTGAGACTGAGTACTGTCCAGTCTGTTCTTGAACTATGTAGCCCAAAGATTCCAAACTTGGAATCTTTCTGCTTTAGCTTCTTTTTCCTTTCAAATTAATTAGTCATTTATTAAATAGTTAATCGAATACATTAGTTCCTATTAAAGCAGAATTCCAAAAGTTCAAGGGTAGCAGGATAAGTTTTACTTTCAGTTATGAAACAGAATTATTATTTTTATCTCAAATTCAAATAACTGTCTCCAGGTTTCATAGCAAGAGCTAGGAAATGTTTCAGATATTAACTATGATAGCAGCCATTCATCACATTTCCCATGGAAAGCTGAAACTCCAGAACCCTCTGAACCTAAAATCCTGGTGCCTCATTTTGGCAAGTAATCCACCTTGAACCTCGAAGACCCTAATGCCTCTTGCATTCAAAGCCGCTGACTCAGAATCTTAAATGCCAGGGTAGAAATCTACCACCATGCTCTGTAATGTGATATATTTTTACATTCATGTGTTTATTTATTTTTGTGTGTAGGAGTGTTTATGTTCATATATGTCTGTGTACCATGTATGTGCTTAGTGCCTGAAGAGGCCTGGGATCCCCTGGAACTGCAGTTAGAGATGGTTGGAAGCCACCATGTTGGGCGCTGGGAATTGAACCTGGATCCTCAGCAAGATCAGCCAGTGCCTTCAACCACTAAGTCATCTTTCCAGCCTCTGAATTGTTATTTATAGGAAATTATAAGAGATATGAAGTAAATGTATTAAAATACGTAACCTTTTGAAATTTGTATTTTTCTGGTACTGGAGCTAATCCCAGGTCCTTTACCCCTGTTGCACACATGCGTCCCAGTGAACTATGTTCCTAGCCCTGCATGTTAATAATTTATAAGATATTTTCTGTGTTTATCTATAAAAGAGAGTTTAACTTAAAAATTAAGTAATTGGGCAGATGATTTTGTGAATTAGAATCAAATAGAAAAAATATGCCAAAAATGTTTTCGCTGTACTCTGGCCTTTCAGAGTTGCCCTGCTGTGCCAACACGATGCTTCAGCAGGTAAAGAAAGACATGTGACAACCAGAGTTTGATCCCCTGAACCCCACATGGTGGAAGGAGAGAAGTGACTCCTACAAGTTAGCCTATCACCTTTGCACATCTGTTGTGACTTGTATCCCTCCCATATACACAGATACATAATTAATGAAAAGAAAAGAAAATTGCACTGCCAACTTCTGGGTGGTAGTACATGGCATTTGGCATTTGGGAGGCTGAGGCAAGAGGATGGCCACAAGTATGGGGACAACTAGCCGTATAGAGAGACCATATCTTATCCTCCAATCCCAAATAAAAGAGAAATGGATGGCCAGTTTTATACATATAGGAATGGTATAATATGTTTAAAAATCATTTTGTGATTTAAACTATAGGCATGGTTTGATATGTAATATAAATGGATTAATATATATGGGTTTTAACTTCAGAAAATAACAGTTAAAATCAGAAAGAAATTTCATAAGTTATGCGTGTGTATGTGTGTGTGTGTGTGTGTGTGTGTGTGTGTGTGTGTGTGTGTGTGTGTTCATTCCTCTGAAATCTTCCCAGGCCTTTTCTCTTTCACTGTTTCTTAATGTGAGAGTCTTGACTGTTTAGCTCAGGTTGCCTTGAACTTGCTGTCATCTTCCTGCCTCAGTCTCCTGTAGGATTGCAGGCATTCCTTACCATGCCCAGCTGAATTCTTTTACTTTCTTCTTTCTTTGGTAAGTAGCCCACTTTACAATTTTTCCTTCTATTGTTTCTATTTCCTTCAATTTTTGCTTGTTTTGAGAAGAGTTCCTGTGAAACATCAAAAATTATACTGATTTCTAGATTTCTGTTTTAACTTGTCTAACATTAGTGTTGGGTGGGAGGAGCCTGGATCCCTCGTGATGGAAGGAGAGAACCGATTCCTACATGTGATCCTCTGACCTCCACCTGTGCACCATGGCATGCGTGTACTATGCCCACCCCAAACAATGAGTAAATGAATAAATAGATGTAATTTAAAAATAAAATTGAGATGTGTTTTATAATAGAATGAAAAACAGTTCATAAACTGGTAGGAGAAAAATGTGAGTGTATTTATTGAGGTAGTCAGTTCTTCCAGCTCTACCTCTAAACCACACAGCATGTTTTTTTTTGTTTGTTTTTTTTTTTTTTATATATAGTCTCTTCATTTGCACATTGATAATTTCATTCTTCCCTCATGGAATTGTGGTTAACTTAAAATAACTTAGTATGTGTAAAACACTTAGGTATATTGTAGAAATAGAATTAAGTCCTTACAGCTTCAAGTACGAAAGGGGAATTATTCAAAACTTCTGGACCTATAACTTTTGAACTTGTAAACTTGTGCATTATAATGAAGGATTTTTCAAGCCATGGGGATTTTGACACATACAGGCTTCTAGTAACATGCTCCAGGAAAGCAAGAGTTCATATCCACAAATAAGAACAATGGCCTTTTACTTGTGAGAAAGTAACCACTGGGATGTGTTGACTATAAGTGTAGAATTACAATTTTTAGATTATTTTCTTTTTGAAATTAAATGTGTGTATGTATGCTTCATATGCAAGGCAAGTGTTCAACTGAGCTATATCCCCAGTTCCTGGATTTTATATTTAGCTATTATATATTTATTTAAATATATTTTAATATGAAATGTATTTAAAATATTTTATATTTAATGCAGTTTTTAGTCCTAGTCTAGTCATTAGAATTCTGGCAAACACACTAGTACTCCAGTTAAGGAGGGTCTGTTGAAATTGCTTTCCAATGACTGCATTTAGAAATTTTCAAAATTCTGACCAATTTTAAAGCTATGTAAGTTTATTTATCTAGCTTTGCTTCATTTGTTTGTTTATTTTGAGACAAGGTCTCACTATATAATCATGGCTGGCCTAGAACTCACTCTGTAAACCAGGCTGGCTTCTAACTCATAGAGATCCGCCTGCCTAGGACTCCTCAGTGCTGGGATTAAAGGTGTGCGATACCATACCCAGCTTTGTTTGTATTTTTGAATCAGGGTCTTGCTATGTAGCTTGAGCTGCTCAAATTTAATTTCTTCTTCTGCTATGAATGTGCCGGTTTATAGGCATGTGCCACAACACCAGGCTCTTCAAATTACTTTGTGTGATTAGATGGGTGTAGTAATGTCCCTATTATTTATATCACTAAAGGTTCACCTGGTCCTTGACACTCACCACTGAAAAGAAGCTTACAATTTGGAATGAAGCAGAGTTACCTTCTCCCCCATAAACTGCAACTAAGTTTAATATTTTCTGCTATAATCCTTTTTTTTCCTCACATAATTCTGTTCTTGAGGAGTATTTTTTTTTTTAACGTATTTTGTTTAGGCTTACACACAGGACCTAGAAAGATAGGCATTGATACTTAGATCACAAGGACACTGGACTTCAGGTATAGGCAGGCCATTAGTCATTGTAACAATCTTGTTTGTGAAGTTTCTGAGAAAGGGGAGTGCAATTCTTTTGTAGTATTCTGGTTAGTGATATCAAAATTCCTGGCTGTCAGCCAACATGAAACAGCAATCAGAACCAGAAGATGGAGGGAAAGGGCTTATCTTTTGTTGTGGCCTTTTACTTTGGAACCAGTAGTGTCTTCAGAGTCAAACAGGTTACAGATATGTGTAGGGGAAGCTGTAGCCACGCCTTCTTAGGGGCTGGCTACAAGAGTACCTGAGGGCTTGTGAGGGCGTGGTCAGAGTGAGTAGGGGGACTGCGTTTTGGTTTCGGTTTCTCTTTGCTTCTTGCTGTACAGACTACCACCGGCTGGCTGGTTCGCTCTGTAAGTAAGGCTTTTCCCTATTAAATACCCTTATATTTCTACCTGACTCCATATTGGTAATTTCTTACTATAGATATGCACCCAGAAGCACTGAGGGTTTCCTCAGAGGGAAACAGGTTACAGATGTACACACAGAAGCACTGAGGGTAATCACAAAGTTGTTGCTCTAACAGAGGCTTGGGATAGAATGGTATCAGCCAAAGTGAAAGAAGCAAATTCTGGGCCGTTTTGAGGGTGGGGCCAAGAAGATTTCTCTTGGATTGAAAATGAGGTATTAGAGAAAGGGGCAAATGATAGATGCCTCATGGGTGTGGCCTAGTCAGTCCCCTGGCAAGATGGAATAGGATTAGCAGGACCAGATTAGCAGGACACAGCATTAGATGTGATGACAGAGATTCTCAGACCGTTGTTAACCAGCATTTGAGACTCACTTGCCCTGGACTTCAAGGGAAAGGGCTACCGGGAGATGCCTTTGAAGGTATCTCGAGCATATGAATGGCATTAGCAGGGTTGTGATGGGATGAAACCGTAAGTCAGTGAAGGTACTTGGAGAAGGGCAGTGGTCCGTTTACTGAAGCAGTGATATTATGAGGTCTAGGTGACAAGGTGAATTCTCCAGAGGAGCAGAGAATGGAATCTCTCTAGGGGAGGAGAACGTGATAAAGTTAGTTGTTGGAGAAGCTGAGTGCAGCAGCAAGGAAATGGGCTTGAACCTGTGTGCCAAGTGGTGCTGATAAAGGAGCTAAGGCTGACTTAGCTGTCATTTCATGATCTCACCACCAATTATTTGGTGCTGGGGATTGAGCCCCGGGATTCCTGTGACTGAACCGTTGTGCATGCTTGTAGCTACTCTACCAACTGTGCTCCGTTCCCAGGTACTAATCATTGAACATGAAGAAGTCATCAAAAAGAGCTGTTCTCCATGAGTGAGCAGGAAGACTGAGTCGGGGGAAGAATAGAGGAGAGCAAGAAAAGAGATACCTTACTAGAGGGAGCCATTATGGGTTTAAAGAGAAATCTGGCACTAGGGCAATCTCCAGAGATCTACAAGGATGACCCCAAATAACAATCTAAGAAGTAGTGGAGAGGCTAACTTAAATGCCCCTTTCCTATAATGAGATTGAGGACTACCTTATATGCCATCCTAGAGCCTTCATCCAGTAGCTGATAGAAGTAGAAGCAGACACCCGTAGCTAAGCACTCAGTTGGACTCCTGGAATCCAGTTGCAGAGAGGGAGGAGTGATGAGCAAAGGGGTCAAGACCAGGATGGAGAAGCCCACAGAAACAGCTGATCTGAACAAGTGGGAGCACAGTCATAAAACTGAGGAACCAGCATTGGACTGAACCAAGCCTTATGAATGTGGTTGTCAGTTAGGAGGCCTGTGGGACCTCTGACAGTGGAATCAGTCTTTATCCCTAGTATATGGATGGACTTTGAGAGCCTATTCCACATAGAGGTATGCTCTCTCAGCCTACATACATGGTGGAGGGCCTAGGCCATCCAATGACAGACTTGAATGGTCCCCCATGGAAGGCCTCACCTTCCCTGGGGAGTGGATAAAGAGGGGGTCAGTAGGGGGGAATGGGACTTTATATCTATTTACAGATATTGTTTGGTCATTGGATTAGGCTTCTTACTGGCTCCCCCTCTTTTAATTATTAACCCATAATTGTTAATCTGTGTATCTCTGCGTGGTCTTGGTTTACCGGAGAATGCCGGGGTGTCCTACCTTCTCAGTAGCTACCTGGCTAAATCCTTCCTGTCCATTGGCTGAAACAGCTTTATTCATCAACCAATAAGAGAAACACATATTCACAGCATACACAAGGACATCCCCAACCTCTCCTCTTTTCTGTCTAAATAAAAAGGTTTAACTTTAACATAGTAAAATTATAAATAACAAAGCAGTTATCAAGCAAGATTATGGTTATAATATTTAGTCCATTAACATTTGGCAAAATTGAAAGAAAATATTCTATAATCTACTCTATCTTTGTGAGCCTAAAGTTTTATATGTGACTTATCTTTGAACATAACTAAGGAAAACCATAACTATCTGTCTTCAACTCCATCAGAGACCCATTTCCTCAAGTCTATTGACCGGCAAGATGGCACTACACCCTCTTTCTTTTCCAATAACAGCAAGTAAGGACCATGTCCCTACCATATTCTTTTCTGAGCACACAGTGCAGCCCTCCACTCTGCACTCAGCACAGATGTCAGGAAGGGCTGTTTTGCCAATAACCCCACCTCATTTTTGTAACCGCTGCAAAGAAAAAGGGGTGGATTTTCATTGGCAGCCATGGGTACAATTTTAAAATAATTGACCTTGGAAAATGATTCAGTTAGGACGCCTTACTTTTAGTTCCCTTTTATATAATTTCATTACAGGAGTCAAGTGCTTTGTGTTTTGTGCCTTGTAAGCAAAAAACAATGGTAACGTGGAGAATCCTGCAGATACATGCAAGAGCACTTCAGTTTTGTGTCACTTGAAGATTTACAATGAAGAAAGAACTGGGATTTTGGCTTCATGCTAAATGCCTAGCTATTTAGAAATATCTGGATTATTCATGGGCTTTCATGTTTTCAGCCAGATGTTATGTTATAAATACATCTGTTTGCTTGATCTTTGAAATCCCAGGTTCATAGCAAAATGCTTGAAGGGTTAGGGGAAAGGTGTTTTGAGGCCTGTGTTTATGTATAAATCAAGTTCTGTATGTCGTTGGCAGTGTACAACCCTACACTCTCATAACAATGTTCAATGTTTTCTTGCCTGCTGCTTCATCAGTTTATTTTGAGACAAAGTCTCACTGTGTGGTTCTGGCTGGCCTGGAGCAAGTTGGATTGAAGGCCATAGAGATCTGCCTGCCATTGCCCCCTGAGTGCTGGGATTGAAGATGTGTGCCATACCAAGACAGATGAGCTGCCTGCCTGCCTTCTTTCCTTCCTTCCTTCCTTCCTTCCTTCCTTCCTTCCTTTTTTCCTTCCATTTTCCTTCCTTCTTTCCTTGTGTTTATTTTAGTGTGTGTGTGTGTGTGTGTGTGTGTGTCTACCCTATGTGTGTAGGAGTCTGTGGAGACCCGAATAGGGTCTAGGATCCCCTAGAATTGGAGTTCCAGATGGTTGTGAACCAGCATGTGGGTGCTGGGAGTCAAACCCAGATCCTTTGGAAGAACAGCAAGTGCTCTTAACCAGTGAGCCATCTCTCCAGCTCTACTTTTTTTTTTTTTTTTTTTTTTTTTTTTTTTTTGGTTTTTCGAGACGGTTTCTCTGTGGCTTTTTGAGGCTGTCCTGAACTAGCTCTTGTAGACCAGGCTGGTCTCGAACTCACAGAAATCCACCTGCCTCTGCCTCCCGAGTGCTGGGATTAAAGGCGTGAGCCACCACCGCCCTGCTCCAGCTCTACTTTTTAAATTTTCAATTATTTATTATTATTTTAAAATTTAATTTATTTTTATTTTATTTGTCTTGTGTTTTGCCTGCATGTATGTCTTTGTACCATGTGCACACCTAGTGTCCGTGGAGGAGGTCAGAAGAGGGCATCAAATTCCCTGGAACTGGAACAATTAAACATGTTAGTGTCTGTGGTGGTTTGAATGAGAATGGCCCCCATAGACTCATATATTTGAATGTTTGGTCCCCAGTTAGTGGAACTGCTTGGGAAGGATTGGGAGGTATAGCCTTGTTGGAGGAAGCATGTTACTGGGGGTTGAGCATCGAGGGTCTACAAAAGCCCTGGCTGTCCTCTGTTCTCTCTCTCTCTCTCTCTCTCTCTCTCTCTCTCTCTCTCTCTCTCTCTCTCTCTCTCTTTTGCTAATAAGGATGTGAGCTCTCAGCCGCTGCTCCAGTGCCATGCCTGCCTGTCTGTTGTCATGGTGCTGATGCTCGTGGACTAACTCTGACACTGTAAGCCCTCCATAGACTCTTTTTTTCTTTAAGTTGCCTTGTCACAGTGTCTCATCATAGCAATAGAAAAGTAACTACGACAGTGTCTTGGTCCATTTTCTGTTGCTGTAGTAGAATATGACAGGCCGGGAAATTAGTAAGGAAAAAACCTACTCCTCACAGTTTCTCTAGGGTAAAAAGTCCAAGGTCACATACTGATGCTTCTCCATTACTGTGTGGAGGAAGGTCTCCCATGACACAAGAGCAGAGGGGCAACTCAGGGCCCTTACTGATTACACAAAGCTTCTAAACCATCGTTGAGGCCCTGCCCTCAGGACCGCTTCTGTCCTGGATCCCCTTCCACAAGCCCCCTTTCCCGTTAAGATTGGGCACATTGGTGCTATCCCTTAGCCTGTGCTGTGTTGAGCCTTAGCTGGAGATGTGTCCCTAATGGCGCACTGACGCATCTGGCACTCCTCCTGGGGATTTGTCTAGGGGAAGCTATGCTAGATTTAGACACTTTCATAATCTTGCTGTTGTGCCTTTTCCATCACAGCCCTTTTAACTCCCCTTTAAAGCACCTTTTATATATCAAGTTTTCTTTGTTTTAAAGAGAAAACAGGAAAGGTTGGTGCTTCCTGCTCATAAAAACACCACTATCAAGGAGTTAACGGAGCCATGATCTGTTTTTATCAGCATTCTGTCTCCCAGAGGAAGGAAACTATTTGTCATTGCTCTAAATTTACTTTCAGTTACAACTGTTTTCATAAGAAAACTGTTATTATTCTTGAACAAAAGAGTCTTTGCAGTTGCTTTGTCTCCCAAGGTGTAGTGACAGGCTTAGATTTTTTAATTATGCAGCTACAGTTAATTTCATCTGAAGCCGTAATTTTTAGATTACTGATTTGGATTTGTAATCTCATTCTCCTTAAAATTATAAACCAATGGTAACATTTAATTATCACTTCTGAGAAACAAGTCATTTCATTATTATATGGTAAAGGCTCCTTTTAGTAAAAATGAAACATTGATGATCTATCTTAGAAGTACATTGAATCTCTTTTGGTCTTATTTCTAGCTTGAAAACTTAATTGTGACTATTTGGTGAGTTTC